CAAAAGAGTTAAAGAAGGGAACCACTGCAATATTTTAATCAGGGCACTGCTGGTCGGATTTGATGGTTGAATACAATAAGGCAAGGTTGGCATTATCATGTTGGGGGAACATGTGATTAAAGGGGCTAATGTAGCAAAAGGTGTGAAATTGTTAACCATGAAACAATGAACCCAGACCATTGAAGTGGCTGAAAAGTTAATTTGGATAAATCAGATACAACTTAATGGCGATTGCATGTTTGAGGCAGTGATAGGTCAGAAGACCAAAAGCCTCCACAGTGATTTGAAGTCCTGGAAAAATGAATGTATAAATTTAATTTTTGGGCATCAGAATCAATTTTTTGGTTCTCCATTATGGGAAAAAATATGCCCAGTTCTCTTTTTGGTGTTGAAACATAAATTTGGAACGAATTGAGCTTGACAACTGAAATAACACAAACATATCTGTATATATGTTCATTAACTTTTTTCCAAGTATATATGTATATATAAGTATCTATGTTCATGAGCTTTGTTTCCCTTAACTTTTTGAAGGCTATGTTTCTATAAACTTTTTTTTGAAGTATATGTATATGTGTGTTTATAGAAACATGGGCTTCAAAAAGTTCATGTAGTGGTTAGGACCTTGTCAGTTGATCCCCCCTGATGTACATTGGGCCTGCTCTCGTTTTCAACGTTTTCTGGATTTTCATGTTTTCTGTTTATCTCAGATGTATTTGGTCATTGGAGGTGACCCTCTTGAATTGTTGTCACATGTTTTTCAATATATGAAACCCAGGATTGTTGAATCTATAGGGACAGCAAGTAGAGTAAGGGTTTCGGGGGGCATAGGAGTAGTGATAAGGGGGGAATCGGGAGCTGATGTCAAGGAGTTAAAGAAGGAAAAGAATGTTTTTAAACTGTGGTAGCAATTGTGCAATACTGCTTGATGGGATTGAACTATGGAGTGATACATGTCTGTATTAGCTCCCAACAAAATGGTTTTGAAAAAAAAAGTTCATGGGAAAACCTGATTATCGTAATTTTTCCATGAACTTTTTGAAGCCCCTTCAATGAGATAGACTGGCACAGTGGCTGTAACAATGGGCTCAAACATAAGAACAACTGTGAGGGTGGGGCAGGGCTGGGCAGGGTTTCCTTCTGTTGTGCATAAGATTACGATGAATCCCAGTACCTAACAACAAATATCTATACTTTTTAAAATATGTGGAAAATGGAATTAAAATATTAAAAAATATATATATCCAAAACACTTCACTGTCTTCAAGTCTATTCTAAATTTGAGCAATCCGATAGGATAAGGTAGAACTGCCCCTGTGAGTTTCTGCCTGTGACCCTTTACAGGAGTGGAAAGCATCATGGTTCTCCGCAGAGCAGCAACTGGTTCCCAATTGCTGAGCTTTTAGCAATCCAACATGTAACCACTTGTAATTTTTTCATGAACTTTTGGACACACACACAATTTATATAAAGAGATTCATTTTCAGGAGTTGGCTTCCTCATAGCAACATCTGGGTCAGTGCTTTTTTTTTTTTGACACTCAGAGCTTTTTATTTACACGTATGTCACAGTGATGATCATTCTGGAGGCTGAGGCCTGCAAGGGTAAGACTCTCTCCAACTCAATTATCTGCTTATCCCTAGTTCACAAAATAGTGACTGCCACAGAACGTTGACTCAGTAATTACCTAGTCAATCGAACCAGGGCAGTCATGCAGAACAGCGTATTTAAAAGCTGATATGCCCCAAAGATGCTAAAGAATCCTGGTAGTCATCTTAAAACCAAACAACTTAGCGAGCTAACTGATGAAAAATGCCCTGAAAAGTTGGCTCTTTTTAAGAACTATCAAACTGACAGGAAATTGAGAGTCGCTGGAAACCCTGGGGAGAAATAAGTCTATAGGTCAGTGCTTGCTTAAATATCTGGATATTATAGTCTAGCCGAGTTAACAGATTAAGACTGTGGGTGAGCACTCGACTCCGGTGGGGAGAGGGGCAGATGGCGAGGTGGGTGAAACGTGAGGGAAGAGTGAAGGTGCCAAGCAGCCATTGCCACAGCTAGGGACCCCAACCCTTCCCCCCCACACACACACACACCCGAACACACACGTGCACACACCCTGTGAGGAGGCAGTTAAACTGAGCAGTGTTTGAACATGGGAAGTCCCCATGAAAAACGAATGTATGGTGTGTCCTAGTGTTTGATTTGGGTATCGACACGATTAAATGTTGATAGTCACACATCTGCTAGGTATTGACGTGCTCAATGATGCAAATGGTTAACACAGAGGTAGTGTCCGAAAGGGTAGCATTTTGAACCCAGCCAGGCAACCAGCCACTGAGCTTGTGACGACATGGTCAGGCCAGAGGCATGTTTCTAGGTCTGGCTGGCAGGCCGGGGCCGCCCGGGCGGGTGAGGGCATCGTGGGGGTGGGCAGAGCACGCCTCTCGTCCCCGCGCCAGAAGCGGGCGGCCCAAGCACGCTCTTGGTGCCGGTGACTAGTGCGGGTGCCCGATTGCATTGACCTTGAGTCCCAATAGAGCGGACCGAGAGCAAAGCGGCCGAGCACTTCGGCGGAGATTGGAAAGAAGCTACCGTCTTCGGCCACCCAAGGGCGGTGCACGGCCGCCGCCTCAGCAGGTCCAAGTGGCACGGAAGCTGCCGACGGCGAAGCCATCTACCGACTAACCACCCCCCCCAACGGCCCACCCCGGAAACTCAGCGCCCGTCCCTGCCCACCCTCACCCCGCGGATTGCAGTTCGCGTGGCCCGGAGGGCCGAGTGACAGCCTTTTTCCTGCTCTTGTGGGTGGCTCTGAAAAGAGCCTTTGGGGTAAAGATGGAACCTCGCTCGGGTCGGGCGCGCAGGGCGACTCAAGCGCGCTCCCCGCGGATGCGGCGGGCCAGCTGGATGTCCTTGGGCATGATGGTCACGCGCTTGGCGTGGATGGCGCACAGGTTGGTGTCCTCGAAGAGCCCCACCAGGTAGGCCTCGCTCGCCTCCTGCAGCGCCATCACGGCCGAGCTCTGGAAGCGCAGGTCCGTCTTGAAGTCCTGCGCGATCTCGCGCACCAGCCGCTGGAACGGCAGCTTGCGGATCAGCAGCTCCGTCGACTTCTGGTAGCGCCGGATCTCGCGCAGGGCCACCGTGCCCGGCCGGTAGCGGTGGGGCTTCTTCACGCCGCCCGTGGCCGGCGCGCTCTTGCGGGCCGCCTTCGTGGCCAGCTGCTTCCGCGGGGCCTTGCCCCCTGTCGACTTGCGGGCAGTCTGCTTGGTGCGGGCCATGGCGAACTCGAGCTCCGGAGAGACGGCGGCGACACTAACGGCCTGCGGCCGCCGCTCCACTCTTTATAGGCGCAGTCGCTCCCCGATTGGGCGCCGCCACAATTGAAAGTCCCGCGCTGGACGGCCATTGGCTGGGCCGTCACGCGACTCGCGTCACCACGGGCGCCCGCAGGACCCTCCCCCACGAGCCTCCCATCTTACTTTTCCAGTTTGCCAGCACTTTTTTTTTCCTTGCCCCCGGCTCCCACCCGCCATGCCTGGGAGGCATTTCCCGTGGTCGCTGCGTACATGCCACACCGTTCCTCCTGAGCCTTTCCCTCCTGGAGGACTCCCCACCCGCGGCCCCCTCCCCACTCTTCCCGCGCGGGGGATGCTGGAGCCCCCAAGGGAGCGTTCCTCGTGCCCTGCGGCGCCCCGCAGACCGCTTGGGTCCCCTTTTTCACGGCCCTCACACACCCGGCCCCTTGCCCTTTCCTCTGTGCGCTCCGGGTCAGCGCCCTGTGGCTCGGGAAGTTGGTCCGGATGGTGTGCTGGCAAAGGCCAAAGTGGGAGGAGCCCGTGGGAACGGCCTAGGTCTCACTTCCCTTCTTGTCCCTGAGTCCACCCCTGGGCTCGGGTCTGTCAGGCTGGCGGAGAAGACGGCTCCCCCTAGAGGTGGCAAGGTCCCCTTCACAGTCGGGCAAGAGGCTCTGGAAGCATCAGCGCGCCGCCGGGCCGCGTCCAGCTTTCGTGGCCATTGGAGGGGTAGAAAGGGGTCCCCGAGATTGGGGGTGCCCACTTGTGCTTGGTTCTAGGGTGGACAAGTCGCCCAGGATACGTGTTCGAGAGCGGTGATGGGAGGCGAGCAGGTGTCACTCGTGGACACGCTCAACTAGCAGGGGACAAGGAGCGGGTTTGGGCGCTTATCAACAAGGGAAATGTGGGCAGCAGAGCAGCCATTGTAACAACTCTTTCGCTTGACAGTGTGGGTGGCTCTGAAAAGAGCCTTTTGAGTTCGCGGGGTGCCTCGAGCAGGCTGGGCAGCGG